TATTCCGGAGTCCCATACATGTACTTCGTGGCATTCAGATTTTGAATGAACTTTGGTGACCCCAACAACCAGTGCTCACACGATGCCGTACCTGGTGACTAAGGTTCACTGACCTGCCACGGCAGCAAACCCGACAAGACGCTTGTATAACTTTCTTTTCTTTCTTTTTTTTTTCAAAAGTGACAGCACATGACAAATATTGATTTATTTTCATGGTGGTACATTTTTTTTAAACTTGAAGGGCACGGCAAAAATTGCAGTGGTTGACCCTTTGATTTTAAGGGCATTGCGGCAAATTGCAACGGCACCAAGGCAAACTGCCGCGGTCTATTTCAAGCCCTGATATTAGGAAAATCCACTTGGACAACAATAAATACCACAGAGCAAAAATAAACCTCAGTGATTAAAAGACCTAAATATAGTCATGAACTCACCTTTCCAAAGGATCCCTGACCTAGTACTTTTAGCAGTTCAAAGTGACTAGGGTCGGCTTTCTCTCCTTCTTTGGTGACATTTGTGATTTCAACTTCATTCTCAGAGTCCTCATGCTGAAGAAAACAAACCGAAAAACAATTAAATTAATGCAACACAGCAGACAAGACCATTTCTCTAAATGTTTTTAAGAGAATGCTCCATCTTTACTCTCAGCAATTCTTGGGTTTGGACCAGTTTTTTAAGGCAAAGAGGGACGGGTGGACATAGATTTCTATAAATTCTAGTGATGGTCAACACAATAAGTGTTGTATATATCAATGAAAAGGTTATTGAGTGGACTTTGGTTTGATAGAATAATTATATGTGTATGATGTTTCATTTGCATGTGTGACCTACTTACTTGGTATCTAAAAATAAAGAAATATGACTTTTTTTTTCTTCTCATCTTTACATATGCAAAGAGAAAAAAAATTGTTTTCCAAGATTCTAGTTTATACCAAGTAACATTCGATTCTACAAGATATATAAAAAAACGTAAGTAATTTCAGGCCAATTAGTAGGGATGACAGCCATTTTAGTACCACGACCTTCTTGTTCAAATTTGAAATGTAAACGAATAGTCAGACTGTAAAAAAATAAAATATTTTTGAAGGTTCATATGACTGTGGCACTTAACCTAAAAATAATGCATATTGGGTAGGTATTCATTTAAAATACAAATCACAGATTTCATTCAACTCATTTGCATATTTGACCTATTTTTGAGATATAGAAATATAGAGTATTTCACTAATATCTCTATTTTTCTTTCTTGCTTTGATTTTTGTATAAAAGAAGGTAATTCAAGATGGCAGACATATGAAAATAATTGAGGAAAAATGCAACACCCATTTAAGTATGAAAATAATTATTTTTTTCCTATTTTTTTGGGTAATTCACCAGAATCAAGTAGTCTACTCCTGTACAAGCACCAAAATGAATAAATTAGACAAAATTATGAGATTAAAAGCCTTCCAAAATCATCATACATTTTTGTTCAATTTTTAAAGGAAAGAAGTGCTAAGAGTTAAATAAATCAACTTAGCACAAAGAGCGGTGTTGCGCGGAGTTTATTGATTCGTAGCTAGAGAGCAGAGTTTCAATAGCTGTACGCGCAACCCTGCCATGGTATTCATGTCTATGAGGTCTCGGAAGAATGAGCAATTAGAATTGAATAAAAACGAGCTAAAACTCGGACAAATCAAAGGAAACTTTGAAAATACATTTTAAAATTTAGAAAGTTAAGCAATCTCGACTAAACAAAGACATGACGAGAGGTCATTTCTCTGTCTACTGTAATACTGTATTTTTAAGTCACTGGAGGAGTTGATTATTTTTTTCATTCGACGAGATAGATGGGTAACAAATGAAAACCTGATAGTCATAATATAATAAGGGAGAAATATAATAACTTGCTATTCTGTACCATAGCAGAAACTGGCTCTCTGAAAGCAGTATTCTGTTTCTAATATAGTTGCATTTTTGCCCTAATTATTTAGATCTAGTCATGAATTTTTTTTTTTTTCTAGTAATTCCAAACATAAGGGAATATATGTCTCAAAATCATAAGGGCAAAGGCAGACATACAAGTCATAGTTGTACTATAAAAAAATGCCCTATGACTTGCATGTCTGCTTTAATTTTTCTGATCGCAACTTTGTACTCATGAACGCATGTTTTGAGAAAATTAAGTGCAAAAATGTGTTTACTAAGACATTAATTTCTTGTAATAAGTTTTGCCACTAAAAAGTGTCATTGGTGAGATGTGACGTAGGCCATATTATGCGTATGTAAAACGTGTGTGAGAATCAGGAAGTGCTGTGAACAACCCCATTTTTTGCGCAACAGAGATTTATAGTATTTTATAAAAAATATTTATGAAGGAAAGTTTTCTAATCTAGACTCAATGTGCAAAAATATGTGCCACAATGTGGTGGAATCAGGCGCTCGTCAATTTTTGGGTATATGGGTTTTTTATTGGTATCAACTTATAGGCTGTTCATTTGCCTTCGTTTTGGTGAAAAAAATATCCGTCTGTATGGAATAAAAGTCAAAATATTTGCAATTGAAGGAGGTAAGGGTTGCCCGGTTTCAGGGGTAAAATTAGCGAGAAAATGGGCGTCTAAGTTAGGTAATGTCCATTGCCCTGAGAGACCTTGGAAAATGAAAATTTACATTTTTTGTACCTTTAATTAATATTTTTTCAGAAAAATCCACAAAGAAATGTGTTTTTAAATTGGTATAAAAGGTGTTGAGCCAACAACAAAATTTAGAAAAAAATAGTCCATCAGCCAAAAAAATATTGATTCCTTGATTTAATTATTTTGACGAGCGCCTGATTTCACCACGATGCCTCACATATGATTAAGTAAGACAAAATTGATACAAACTGTTGCACAAAGTATGGGTGACATTGATTCATCTGCTAAAGAGATATGTGAGAATAAGTTGTGCCACGAAATTTTGACCGCACTAGAGCAGACATAACTCGACAAATCAGCTTCAAATGGCCATAAAAACGAGCTAAAAGTAGAAAGAATGGTTTTATTTCGTACTTGGCAAACTGAACAAACTTTTCCTGACTTTAAATAGATAAAATCAAAACCAGGAAAAGAAAATATCAATATGGAATACTGAGTGTTTTGTTTTGATTCCAGCCCCCCCCCCCCAATTTTTCTAAACCCATCAACAAATATCAGGAACAAAAAATAATTGGAATTAAGAGGGTCATAACTTTGGTGTTGACTACTATATGAACATGGAATTACAAGCAAAACCCTGTGAGTGCACATTTCAAATTCCTTTTTTATTTCCTTCAGCACAAATGTGTTGACATAAATTCAAGTATAAAAAGAAAGACATTCAAATCAAACTTACCTGATCATCAACCAGCATATCCTCTGTACTTGCAGCCTAAGAGAAAAAAATAAATGAATATTAGTCCAGACATTTGAAATACCGATGTCTAACAAAAAAATAAAAGGAAGGTTATAACCTTGAACAGAGTAAAGGGCTCTATAATATAGGTTGTATCTTATATTTACCCACATGGGTAATGAAGCCGAACTTACTTTTTTAGTAAGCACACAACCACAAGCAGGCTTGTGCAGATGTGGAACCAAAGAGATGTAATCGTGAAAGATTAGCAATCAGAATGCACAGCTGCCCGATCCTTTGGAAAGCAAGGGTGCTCAAACAAGCTATATCCGTGTGAAAATACACAGGACCAGCGGGAAAGGGGTTAAATTGATAATATCTGCTGCGAGCAAGACATGTATATATATTATGCATGGAGAAAAGATGTCTGAATAGAGGTATCAGTCTAAAATGCCCATGCTTGTTAGACTTTGGCATCACAAAATCTCTGACTTAACAAGGGCTTAATATGACTGTATGCAGATACGAAAGCCATTAAACTTTAAGCAAACTGAAAACAGTCTTAACTAAACTGACTGATATAAACAATTTTAAAAAATAGGCTGAATGTTTCATGTACTTTATTTCACAATATTTTCTCCAGTGATATAATAGAACTAGCTGTAAACCACAATATTTTAAGAGACAAAACTAAATGTAGCCATGAGCCTTGAAATTGTCTGACACACTAATCCAACCATTTTTAGCTATATATACAGTAGTCTCCGTCTAAGAATCCATCGCTTACGGTCTCGGTTCGTTATAGTTGTTTTAAGAAAACAGAATTCTTACTACAAAAAAATCACCCCTTAAAATCCCCAAGAGGGCCTGCAGAGGAGCATCTAGAGAAGAAAAGATCTTGTTTTAGTTTTAGAAAGTGTTTAACGGCACTTGCAACACAATAAGGTCATATAACTGCTGAAGATTAGAGGTGTTACAAGGGAGTAACAAACACAAAAAAGGAGGAGAGATAAGGACGATAGATGTATGATAAGAAAGAATTCTAAGCAAACCACACCAGAGCACCCGTCAACCACCCACAAAAGATCTTGAGACTCAAGATCAGACAATAAGTGAAAATGGCATGTCTTATTATGCCACAAGTCATAAATCCACCCAGGGGTCAAGTCAGTCCATTTTAGAGTAAAGGGAGACAATTTTACAGGTTGTGGACCTAAACATGGATCAGCATGGAATAATTCCCTTTGTCAGTGTGTCAGTTAAGATCCCATTCGCCTAAGACTCAGTAAGACTAAGATCCCACATTTTCCTTCCTCCTGAGCACCGGGATCTTAGGCGGAGACTCCCGTATATGTGAAGGGTTTAGTAAGCTGGTACTATCTCACTCTCAGCTTACTCTAAAAAAAAACCTCACAGATTTTGACCCATTATTCCTTATAAAAAGCTGTATTTCTCAGATGTAAATAATGGAGACTAAAAGTTGTTTTGAGCGAGTGGGGATTGGTGCACTCTACTCACGACTGTTTGATAACTTTATACAGGTCAGTAAAGTTGAGTAAATTCACAAAATAATGATGTTTATGGACAGAAAGATTTTTTTTTTTTAAAGAAGAAAAGTTTATATTTTGAGAGCATCTCTATGAAGTCTCTGCTGAGAAATCTAGCAACGGTGCTATCACCAATCCCATCACCATTACAATCTTACTAAAACTGTCTTCACGTGTTGGATCTGAAACAGACATCATCACCAGCAATTACTACTATTCGCCACTTGTTTCTCTGATCAAACACTGTCATAAAAAAAAGGAGGACTTCCGTAACTAGCGACCACTATGACACAGAGCAGAATTGAGGGCTAGGGGTAGGGGTAATCTAGGGGTGGGAGTAGGGGTAGGGGTAGGGGTAGGGGTAGGGTTAGGGTTTGGGTTTGGGTTAGGCCGTTAGGGTTAAGGTTAGGATTAGGCCTCTTCTTTATTGAATTGTGTTTGATGGGGTGGTCGCTCATTACGTAAGTCCTTCCTACAGAAATCTAGATATCCTTTTCTACGTTAAACTCTCTTTTACCCAACTACATCCATTTGTGTTGTTCTCTTCAAGTCAGTAGGTCTAATTTTGCCTATTTCACTTTCTATTTTACCAGTGAGCGCTTTCACCAAACCAATGAAGACATTTACAGATTTTCTCAAATTTGAATTCATTCATTCATACTGACCGAGTGCCCGACTCAACAGTCAACACTAGATCTAGATCTAGATCTAGATCTGTAAGTCTTGTTTTGATACCCAAGAAAAGCTTCAGTCAATAAACTTACGTTTGACCTAGATCTAGATCTAGATCTAGATCTATTTCCTAGACCGATCCTAAAGATCACAATCTTTTAAAATTAAAGGTTGCCATTACTCTGCATCAGTCAGAATATGAATCTGTTTAGTACCTGCCTAAGGAGCCTAACTAGCCTAGTGTCTCAGAGTAAGACCCACTAGCCTTGGTCAGGCTAGGCACTAGATCTAGAATCTAGGTCTAGCCTCTAGGTGGGGCTGGGTTGGCGTTGAGTAGGCTAGTAAGTTACATTACTCTACTGTTTAGTTTAGTTTAGGCTTGATGAGTCCACACTTTATGTCTTCATGGAAATTAAGTTATTTTAAACATACAGCAAGCTCTTAAATGAATGAATAACACACTATCAAAACGTTGCAGTTGTAAACGGGAAGACATGAGCTTAACGGCGAACTCGTGAATGCGTGTGGCTGAGATACCACAACATCATTGAAGAGGAAGTGGGGACTCAGATTTTACCTGCGCCGGTGATACAAGACTTCTACTTCTTCAACAAGACGGACAAAAACAAGACAATTTCCAAACATATCAAAAGTAAATATTACCTCGGTTTCGTGTGCTACTTCCATGCGACGCCATGGGTCGGCGTTTTGTGCCAAAGGCATTGTTAAAGGAGAGTACAGAGGAATTTTGACTATGTTTACAGCCGTCGTCCCTCGATTCACAGAAGTGATCGACCAATATGGCCGCCAAGAAGATGAACTTGCCGATTATTTCAACCTATTACAGGCCAAAACTGTAAAAGTAGCACCTAGCCTAGCCAACGAGGCTTGTTGCACAATAGATATTATGGAAGACAATGTTTTTGACTCATTCATTCTTCTAACAATAACTAATAATTTATCTTCTTCTCAACAACAACGATAATAATAATAATAATAATAATAATAATAATAATAATAATAATAATAATAATAATAATAATAACACAGTCTCTCTATTGCCTTTCTTCTTCCAGATTGGTACTATGACCGCTTTTTGCCAGTCACCGGGAGCTTTTCTTTCTGCCCATGCTTTCTGGAAGATTTTTGTGAGCCAAGTTATTCCAGTTTCACCACAATAATTTGCTAGATGGCGCGTGGTGAGCTCGTCCTCCTGCGCTTCTGGTTTGTTTGTTTGTTTGTTTGTTTGTTGTTGTTGGG